AAAAAAAGAAAAGAAAAACTGAGGTGAGAGGACCATTTGAGCCCAAGAGTTAGAGGTTGCTGTGAGCTATGACACCACAGCACTCTACCTAGGGCGACAGCTTGAGACTCTGTCTCAAAAAAAAAAAAAAAGATTTGGAGGCTGGGCTGGCCTCACACAGTTGCCTGGCAGTATGCCTCTTATGCAACCCTGCCACAGAAAGCCAAGAGGCTGGTGGAGGCCCTCTCTCTGAGGCCCTCCCCCATGGCAGTAATGCAGCAGCAGCAATAGCAGCAAAACTAATGCCTATCTAGCACCTACTGTAGCAAGGCCTTGGGCCAAGCACTCTACCTTCTGCAGCCTCACAGCAATTCTAGAAGGCAGCCACTATCATTATGTCCATTTTGCAGAGGAAGAAAGTGAGCACTTGCACACAGCCTGTGGGTAATGGGGCTAGGTGTGAACAAGGCTTCCCTGGTCCTGCGCCTGCTTTCCGAACCACCTCACTACAGCCTCACAGAGCTCCACCTACACTGGCAGCTCCTCGGCACTCCCTCCTCCCACTGCCCCTAGGTCTCGGCCTAACCCTACAGGCTGCCTTCAGGCCCCAACTCTAAACCGGTCCCCTGACCTCCCCTTCTGCCCAGGGCTCCTGCACACACTGCTCCTTCTGCCTGACTGGCCTTTTCCTGTCCCTCCCACTCATCCTTTAGAATGTAAAGTTTAGAGCTTCCCCAAGGTACTTTCCCAGGGGAGAGTGACACAGGCCTGAGCCCAAGCCCAGGGTTATAAACACTTTCCTGGCTCCCTGAACATGTCCTTGCAGGCTACATCATGGTTTGTAGAGATATAGCCATGTGTCACTGGCTAGGGGTCTGGTTCTAGGCTGCTCCCACCAGGGAGCCCTCTGAGGCTAGCAGCTCTTTGAGTCTTGTCCCCTGCTGCAGTCCCAGCACTGGGCCCAACAGTCAACTAACACCAATGGCACACCCTCTGCTGGCTAGGCAGGGCTTCAGGTGGGGACTGAGGAAAGGAACTCCATGGAGCAAGTCTGCCCTGTGGAACCCACATTCCAGCAGGGAAGACAGACAACAAATATTTGCCCTAATTAACAACCTAAGGAAGGAGTGAAGGTCAGGGAAGAAAACAGATAGTGAGATAAAGAGAGCCTGAGGGCAGTGAGAGCTAGAATGGTCCTGGTACAGCTGAGGGTGACAGTACAGGGAGGGCAGAGCGGGAAAAGGATTCCAAGGCAGAGAGAATAGGAAGGTCAAAGACTTGGAGGGAGGCATAAGCTGAGAGGTGAAGAATAGCAAACAGGATGGGGAGAGCAGTAGGAAATGAGGTGGGAGTGACTGAGAGCCACAGTGAGAGCTTGGGGTCTTGAGAACAGAGAACACCCAACTTTGCACAGAGTACCACCCAAGGACATCCTCCCCAGCTACAATGCCTTCAGACTCACTCGGACTCTGGGCCACCCACAAATACTCAACTCCTACAGCCCCATGGGAACCTCCCCTCCCAGATCACACCCTTCCAAGGAGGCCAAGCAGACAATCTGTTCCTGCCCAGGGAGTGTCTCAGTCTTGCCCAGCCCCTTGCTTCCAGAAACAGACCTACTGGCAGTGGACAATGTGGCAACTAGGGTAAGGAGCTCTGGAATCATCCAGACGCAGCTTCGAATCTGCCTCTGCCCTTACCAGCAGCTTTTTGAACCTCACTTTTTCTGTCTGTAAAGCAGATTCATCTTCACTACACACTTCACAAGATTGTGGGAGGGATGAAATAAAACTGGGTGCATAGATCACTGAGCACAGTGTGAATGCTCATTAAACATTAACCCACATTACAATTACTTGAGAGGCAGTGGGCCATAGAAAGATTCTGGGCCAGAACTCCAGAACTGGAATTCCAACCACACAACTTACTCATCAGGTGATGTTAAGCAAATCACTTAACCTCTTAATTATAGATTAAGACGCCATAAGGTTGTAGTGAGGACTAAATAAGTTAATATATGTAAAGCATGGAAAAGAGGGTCTAGCACACATAACCACTTTGTGTTTGTTACTACTATCAGTATTTGTAGGAGAGGTGCCCCTTCTTCCACCACTAGGAAACACCACTGAACTCTCTCCTGAATGTCCCTGCCCCTTCCCCCCAACAGGCCCTACTAGGGTTTTAACTTTTGACCCTTGACCATCTGCCCAGCTGTCAGATTTTGACCTCTGTATCCCCTAGCTATGCCCCACCTATGATCCCCTAAAATGCTCCCCCCCCAACCTAAATCTCATCTATTTGTTCCACTGGTTGCCGCCTTAAACCTCCAACCCGCTACCCCATGGGTGAGATTCTGACCCTCTTGGGCGCAGCCTCCCCTGAAATTATTAATTTTAACTCCCCCCTTTACTGAGACTCCCCTATCCCATCCAATGCGCCCCCACTTCAAATTCTACACTATGCACTCCCCTCCGTCACGCCCCCTTCCTAGTTTGACCTCTCATCTCCTCTACACCTCTCTCCCCATAATGTTGACCCTCGACCCCGTAGGACCCCATCTTTCCCTCCACGAATGAACTTTGACCTCGGCAGCCCCGCCCCCCTCCTCACCCAAACGCTCTCCCACCACAGCTAGCGCCGGCCCACCCCAAACCCTAGCCAGATCGCCTATCCTACCGGCTCGGCAATGCAGTCGCTAGCGGCCTAGCTGCTCCGCCCGGAATTCTGCGCCCTCGCACCTCCTTCAACTCCCTTGCGCCGCGGCCGCCGCGGCCACTACCGCCGCCATGTTGAATCTCCAACGAACATCCGGGACTTCCCCCTCCACCGCCCACCAGTCTCCATAGCAACGGCGCTGACCGGACAGTAGGCGGAGCCCAAGCAGAGGCGGAGCTAGGTACCTAGTAGCTCCCGCTCCAGCCTCCAATTGGTGCAGATTGTCCAATCGGAGATCCTGGGACAGAAAATGCCAAACGCGGATTCGAAAATTTGGAAAAGGTGCGGGAAGGTTGGCTCCCGGGCCACTGAAGTTCTTAAAGGGGAAATAACGTCTGTCTTGTCACCTATTCCCACCTCGTCCCCCAAAAGAATTAGAGAGTGGAAGACAGTAATGGGTTAATAAGGGCCACGAACAGTTCTTAAGTACTTATGGTAAGCCAGGCACCTGGCTAGATGCTTTATTTGTATTTTCTCACTGAATGCAAAGTCCTATTGTATTATTAATACCCATTTTACAGATAAACTGAGGCTCAGAGGGCGAACTAGCAGGCATAGCATTGCAGGAAGTAGGTAATGAGTTTGGTCTTAATCTTTTAAAAAAGATTTTAAAAACATTTTTTAAAAAGTAATTAGTCAAAAAGTGGAAAATACAAAGAAAAAGAAAGAAAAAAGTAACCACAAACTAAATTCAGACATCCTCATCTATGATCTTACTCGCAGGGTTCCGAACTTGCTCCGCCTGAAAAATGTCAGATGCTTACTTGCCTAACGATTTTTGCATCGACTGTTCCTCTGTCTGGAATATATTCGTTCTCAGGTATCCTCCTGGCTCTCTCCCTCCCTTCTTTCAGGGTTTTATTCAAATGTCACCGTCTCAGTGAGACCATTCTTGCCCTCCCTCCCACCCAAGCAGCAAACATCTCTCTCGAATGCTACCAAACACTTTGCCTACTTTTTCTTATTTCTTGTTGCTAATTATGGTTTGTTGGTTGCCTCCTCTGCTGGGGGATGTCAGCCCCATGAGAGCATAGATTTTTGTGTTTGTTTACTGTTACAATCCCGTCGCCCTGACATTATTGGCATGAAGATGATCAGTAAATGTTTGTTGAATGAATGGTTGAATGCGTGCTAATTCCACCCCTTCAGAGATACTTTCAAATGTTTGGTGCTTCTCCCCTGCCCAGAACAGTAGCTAGCACATAGCAGGAATTTAATTAATGCCTGTGGAAACAATGAATGAATGATTGTATGATGAGTTATTTCTTCTTCACACTTACCTACCTTTTTTTTCTTTTAACAGACTTGAACTACATTTATAAAGAATGTCATATCTTTTAAACACAAGATTATAAATATCCCCAGCCTCTTTCCGTGTCATTAATATTCTTCAAGAAGATTAGTTTTAACGGCTGCATACGATGCCATCCTATCAATGAATTCTAATTTGTTTAACCACTCTTTCTTACTGAACGTCAACACTGTAATAAATATTTTGCTATTATAAATAATTTCCACCACCACCCCTCCAAAAAACCCAAGCAGCTAAATATTTTGTGCACATCTCTTTGAATAGATTGCCACAGATGGAACTGCTGGGGCAAAGGGAATATACATTTTTTTTTTTTTTTTTTGAGACAAAGCCTCACGCTATCCCCCTGGGTAGAGTGCCGTGGCATTGCAGCTCACAGCAACCTCTAACTCCTGGGCTCAAGGGAGTCTCCTGCCTTAGCCTCCCAAGTAGCTGAGACCACAGGCGCCCGCCACAACGCCCAGCTATGTTTTGGTTGCAGCCATCATTGTTGTTTGGCAGGCCTGGGCTGGATTTGAACCCGCCACCTTAGGTGTATGTGGCTGGCGCCTTAGCCACTGGAGCCACAGGCACGGAGCCAGGGAATATACATCTTTAAGATTTAATGATAGTAACAGCCCGCATGTTTCAAGCATTTCTATGCATGAGGAGGCATAGCGCTAAATGGTGGGAGAGGGTCTCACTTTCCCAGGCTGGCCACCAACTCTTAAGCTCAAGGGATCCTCCTGCTTCAACATCCCTAGTAGCTGGGACAACAAGTGCGCACCACCGCGCCTGACTTAAGCTGTGTGATTTTAACCACAAGAACTATGATTGTCTATTCTCTTTTCTCAGAGGGGCTGAACTGAGAACTAATTTCTCTTGTTCCACGTCGCTCTTTAAGGGGGCAAAGCCAGCATTGCCTTTCCGGCGCCGCTCTCAACTGACTGCCCTCTGCTGCCCCCCCACGGCCTGGGGCGCACATTGCCAAATTGTGCTACAGGGATTCAACTCCATTCGCTTTCAGAGAGAATGTGCATTTTAAAGTATCCTCGCCAGCATTAAACATCCTTGTTTTTGCGCTCTTTTGCAATGTTCATATCTTACAGAATCTTTGTTTTATTTTTTAAAAAGAAAGAAAGTCCAGTCTCCTAGATGACAGGACCTTATTCAGGTCGTAGTGATGGGAAGATAGCCAGGTGCCCTCTTTGCCTCTTTAACACCCTGCACAAATTTCAAGGCCCTGGGCTCTACAACCTAGAGTCTAGGTTTGGGGAAGCCCTCTCGTAACTTAGTTGGGGATCCCAGTCGAAGGTCAATCCCCTGGGACAATCCCAGTGACAGACTTCTCCCAAGGGCTTGCTCAGGATAGGCAATCAGGCTCTGCTATCTCAGGACCCTCCAGGAGAGGAAAATCAGCCCCCCAAGAGTCTCCTACAGAGGGCTTCCTGGAGAGGGTCGTGAGGAAGTGACCCCTCAAGGGTGGGAATAGGAGAGGAGGGTGAGAAGAATTTGGCCTCAAAAAAAATTATAAATTTCTGGCTCGGTGCCTATAGCTCAGTGGTTAGGATGCTGGCCACATACACTGGGGCTGTTGGGTTTGAACCCGGCCTGGGCCTGCCAAACAATGACAACTACAAAAAAAAAATCCTTATTATTGGACATTTAGGTTGCTTCCAAATTTTTCACTGCTGTTTATGCCAGGCCCTCTCTAAACACTTTACCTTCATGATCTTAGCTAATCCTCATTACTCATCTATAAGATGGGATCTTTAGTCCCATTTAACTGATGAGGAAACTGAGGCCCCTGAATGGGCCAGATGAGAGTTGGGCAGGAAGTAGAAAAAAGTTCCACCAGTAGTAAACAGCTCAATTGGGATGTTTAATTATGAAATCTGAGTTCAAAACTGAAGCTCTTGTATGGGTGCAGTGGCTCACGCCTATAATCCTAGCACTCTGGGAGGCCAAGGAGAATGCATTGCTTGAGCTCAGGAGTTCAAGATCAGCCAGAGCAAGACTGAAACTCCACCTCTACTAAAAACAGAAACATAGCCAAGCATTGTGGAAGGTGCCTGTAGTCCCAGCTACTTGGGAAGCTGAGGCAAGAGGATTGCTCAAGCCCAAGAGTTTGAAGTTGCTATGAGCTACAATGATGTGATGGTATTCTACTCTGTCTCAAAAAAAAAAAAAAAACTGATGCTTTTAAAGACTGTAAAAATTCATTTAATAAATATATACACTGGCTGCATCTCTGTGCAGACCATGTTGAATCATAACTGTAAACATTTATTGAGCATTTTGTATAGCAGGTCCTGGGCTAAGCACTTTACATCCACTGTACCAACTCAGTTAGTCCCCACAAACATCCTGTGTACTATTTTATCCTCATTCTATAACTGTGCAAACTGAGGCACAGAGAAGCTAAGTACCATCTCCAAAGTCACACTGGCAGTTGGCTTCAGTGTCTGGTCTCCTAACCACTTCTCTTGTTTTTCAGAGACTTGAGAGGTCAATAACACATACATGAACAAATAAACAATCTGACATAAAATAAGGTGATGAGCAGAACCAGAAAGAAAAATCTCACTTTATGGAACATATCCAAACAGCCACAAAAAGAATGTAGAAGACACAGGACCCAGCAATCTCACTTTTAGGTATTTGCTCAAAAGAAATGAAAACACATTCACACTATGACTTGTACAGGATCATTCATAGCAGCTGTTTTCATAATCACCCAAAACTGGAAACAACCCAAAATGTCCATCAGCTGGTGAACAGATAAACACATTGCAATACCTTGCAATCTAGTCCCTGGAATATACCCAGCAGTAAAAAGGAAGGCATTCTTGATAAGCACACAAAGGATGAATTGCAGATGTATTGCACCGGGCAAAAGAAGTCAGTCTCAAAAGGCTACAAAGTGTATGATTCTATTAGCATTCTGGGAAAGGAGAATCTGGGCATGGTGGCTCAGGCCTGTAATCCTAGCACTCTGGGAGGACAAGGCAGGTAGATTGCCTGAGCTCACAAGTTTGAGACCACACTGAGCTAGAGCAAGACCTCATCTCTGAAAACAATAGACTGGCATTGTTTGGACACCTGTAGTCCCAGCTACTTGGGAGGCTGAGATAAGAGAATCTCTTAAGCCCAAGAGTTTGAGGTTTGTTATGAGCTGAGATGCCACAGCACTCTACCCAGGCTGACAGCTTGAGGCTCTGTCTCAAATAAATAAATAAATAAATAAATGTTTGAGGGGGTTGGGGTTTTTCTAGCTGGGCACAGTGGCTCATGCCTGTAATCCTAGCACTTTGGAGGCCAAGGTAGGTGGATTACCTGAGCTCAGGAATTCAAGACCAGCCTAAGCAAGAGCAAGACACCCCACTACTAAAAATAGAAAACACCAGCTGGGAATCATGGCATACACCTGTGGTGCCAACTACTTGGGAGGCTGAAGCAAAAGGATTGCATGAGCCCATGAGTTGGAAGTTGCTGTGAGCTATGATACTACAGCACTCTACTCAGGGCTACAGAGTGAGACTCTGTCTCAAAAAAAAAGAAAGGTTTTAAGCTGTAGTAGAATAAAGAATGGACTTTAGTTAATAATAATATATCAATATTGGTTTATTAATTTAATATAACTTTTTTTTTTTTGAGACAAAGCCTCAAGCTGCCCACAACGCCTAGCTATTTTTTGGTTGTAGTTGTCGTTGTTTGGTGAGCCTGGGCTGGATTTGAACCTGCCAGCTCACGTGTATGTGGCTGGTGACTTAGCTGCTTGAGCTACAGGTGCTGAGCCCTAATATAAGATTTTAATAATAGG